CAGAGCAATGTTTTCCTCTATCTCCTGTATATAATGTTCACTGCTTCTTTGCTGATATTACCAAATGAAGGCTGTCTCTTAATGATTCACTTTTATTATCATTATCACTGTCACAAGAATCATCTAATTCATTTATACTGCACTTGTTGCTGTAGAATCTAGATGATGTTCCTCAGGCTAGTCCTGATTACCAGACGACCCTGCATGATCCAGGCTAACAGGAATACAGCAATTCGAGCAGAAGTGCTCCCCATTAGAGCCTCCACCTGAGCTCATACCACACACTGATGCAATGTTCTACCCACTCCTAAATTGTGAGTTCCTTAGCAAGAATAATCTCTCATTTCCAATGAGCCTGGTAGCCAGTATATTTTAATCACTCAATAAATGTTTGTAGAATAAGTGCTGTGTTTAGTGACTCCAAAACAAAGAGAACTAAGACATAGCCCCTAAGCCCAAGAAACCTAAAGTCCCTTAATTTCAAAAATAGCAATACTAATGATGACATCAGCTAATGTTCACTGAGGACTGTGTGCTAAATACTGAGCCATGTGCTTTGCTGGCTGTGGTGGTTAAGGTGGAGTTTCAACTTGATTGACTTTGGGGTCTGTCCCAGGGATTAGTAGAGCACAATTCTGGGTAGGTCATGAGCTATGACCTTGAGATCTATGCCTGCTCCCTTGCCTCTCCCACTTTGGCACTCTTCCCTTGCTCTGCTTCCTGCCATGAACTAAGCAACTTTTCTCTGCCATGCCTTTCTGCCACGATGTCTCTGATAGAGACAGTCAATCATGGACTGAAACCATGAACAAATTAAATATCTCCTTCTTTTAAGTTGTGGGTATTAGACATTGTGTCTCAGCAACAAGAAAGCTAATACAGAAAACTGGTACCAAAGAAACGGGGTTGTTGCTGTGACTATACCCATATATATGTGGTAAAGCCCTTGAAGTTAGTTTGCAAGAATTTGGAAAGGTTTGAAGATGCCAGCTAGAGAAGCCTTAGAATGCTAAGCAGAGTAAGCAGAGATTGATGGTAGATTCTGGTCCGAGCTCAGAAGACCAGAATGCTGCTCAAAAGGCAGGAAGTAAAGGCCATGCACAGGAAGTTTAAGAAAGAACAAGGACTCCATCGGCAGTTGGACTAGAGGCGATGTGTGTTACAGTCGGCCAGAAAATTTGTCTACATTTAGCCCACGTTCTGTGACTTTACAGAAGACTGAGATTAAGGGCAGTAGACTAATTCATCTGGTGAAGAAAATTTCAAGACACCCTAACATTCAGGTTATGGCATTGGTGCTGCTGGCTGCTTTTAGCCAGATTTATAGTGAAAATTGGGGCTGAAGGGCAGAGCAGAAAAATTTGAAAAACTTAAATTTTAGCCCAGAAGAAACCATGTTGGGGCCAAAGGAAGCATGGCTGCTAAAAAGACTAACATCATTAAAAAGAAACCAAGTATTTTTTATGGGGACAAGAAGGAAGATGCCTTCAGGGCATCTCAAGAATCAGCAAGACTCCACTTGATGCAGGCTCAATGGTACAAAATTTGTCACCCTTTCTTTTGAGAATAAAGTGCCAAGGATTCTTCCTTGACAAGCACCTCCTAAGGGACTGTTTCCCCAGGATTCATTTCACTGTACTCAGACATTGAGGCACTTAGAGGCTGATGCAGCTATGGTCCAAGGTGAGCTGTCTACTGCTTCTGCTGACAGCTGACTTTGATGTCATCCACATGATGCTGATTATACTGGCATGCAGAATACAAGAGCTATAGAGCCAAGGGAGGCCTAGACCCAAATTTCAAAGGAAGACCTGAAAAGCCAGGTAAGGAACTCCTGAATGGGCTTTGCATGAAGCTGTGGAGATGAAACCAACACTGCAGTGGAGACATAAGGAAATCAGAGATGCCAGTAATGTGGAATGTCTGTTGAAGAAAGTTTCAGGCGATGAATGGAGCCAGCCCAAGGCAAAGGCTGTGCTGGCTCCAAGTGGCAAAACCACAGAGGTGAAGCTACGTCCAAGACCTTCGGAACTCACTTTTTACCACTGTGTGCCCTGAATCCTGGATTTAGAACTATAGGACCTAATGTCTGCCTTGCTGGTTTTCAGTCTTGCTTTGGTCGGATTCTTTTCTATCCCTCCAGTCCCCCCTTTTAGGATAGGAATGTTTTCCCTGAGCCATTGTACTTCGGGATTATGTAACTTATTTTTTATTTTTATAGAGGTTCACAGCCAAGGCTTTGTCTTGAGTCTCAGAAAAGACTTGGACTTTTGAAAATGCTGGAACTGTTGAGATATTGGGGAAAGGATTACTGGTTTCTGGTTGTGTGCTGGATAGTTGTTTTATTTAGGTAAAGTTATGAATTCGCTATCTTTATTTAGAGATTAAGTACGGTTAAAGGAAAGTGTTTAGATTTAGGTTTCTGTCTAGGTAGCAAGTTGAAAGGGGTGAAATGAGATGGTGAGAGGTGGAGTTTCAACTTGATTGGCTTTGGGATCCACACTGGACATTGGTGGAGCAGACTTCTAGGTGTGTCTGAGTGGGCCATGGAGGTGTGCACTTGGGGTCTGTGTCTGCTTCTTCACCTCTTCCACTCTGGCACCCTTCCCCTGCTATGCTTCAAAGCTGCTATGAACTAAGCAAGTTTGCTAGCTACACCCTTCCACCATCGTGTGTCTGTCTTATAGCCAACTGGTGATGGAATGAAACTATAAGAAAATCAAACCTCTTGTCCTTTACATTGTATTAGGTATTTTGTCTCTCCAGTGACAAAGCTGACTGATACTCATGCCTTATCTGACGTAACGAAATTGACAACCCCCCACGGTTATATTATCACTCCTCCCACTTCATAGGTGAGGATGGTGAAGTCCATGGAATGAACAGGTCATTTGAAAATGGTGGAGTCAGAGTTTGAACTCAAGTCCTCACTATGATTCATGTTCTTAACCACTACATTAATGCTACCTCTATAATGGCAGGATGAATAAGAGGTTGAAGAAGCTGAAATAAATTAATACCCAAAGGAGTGGCAGGGAATTCCCAGGGTCAGTCATATTGACATCAAATCAAATCTTATTGAAAACACTAAGTTGCTCCAAGTTATAACTAGACAAGCCCTTTGGGGAACGGGACAGAGCCACACAGGAGACCTACAAAGACACTGAAGCCACTGCTTAACGCCTATTGAAATGCATTGCTCTTCTTCCTGGCCTCCCTCTCAGCTGGGATACCTTGAAAAGCAATTTTTCCCACTGGGAATTTTGAATGGAATATAGACAAGTGTATTGGTCAGCTTTCCGACACTGTGACTTAAAGGAGGGAAAGTTTATTTCGGCTCACAGTTTTAGAAGTTTTCGTCCATGGTCATTTGGCACCATTGTTTCTGCGTCTGTGGTGAGCATCACGGTGTCATTGTGTTGAAAGGAAATTGTCCAGTTTGTGCCTAGAGAGAGAGGTGGGCAGTGGCAGGAGATCGCACTGGGTCAGCCACACCCAGAGTTGGGACTTCATCCTTAAGCCACTGTGGCCTCTGTCACTGGCCTTCACTCCCTTCCAAGGGAGAAAATGATGAGCACCTCTTACAAGGCTGTCTGCCACAACTGCCAATAACAAAAGAGATTCCAGCTCCTAGAAAACATCCAATTCCAATATCCAATTGTCTTACAGGCAGAAGCAAAGGAAGCATGTTGACCATTTAGACCTGACCATAAAAGTAGAGTCTTGGTAAAAGTTTGTTATGTTCCCAGCCCAGTAGATCAGTGTGATCAACCTTTGTAGCAACCGAAAATCACCTGGGAAATTTAAAAAGAAATGGTGATACCTAGGTCCCCCTCAGAGACTCTGATTCAGTTGTCTGGGGACAACCAGCCCTGGACACCCAGGGTTGAGAACTGCAGCAGAATGCACAGCCCAGCAGCAGGAACTCTGGAGGAGAGTCTGGACCACCCTACCCCCTTGCCAGGAGCTCCAGCCTTGTAGATTCTGAGTTGGTTCTGCAAACCCCTGGCATCCTGTGGCAACTGCTGAGACCTGTTGGTGCTCCTGCCCACTCTCCCACCCCAGCTCCCTCTCACGTGCAGAGGCAAGAGGACCCTGTTCTAAGGCCACATCATTGGTGCAGTACTGGGAAGCATTGTCAGGGTTTGTTGTTTCTGGCATTTACCTGGGAATGCCGAGCAGGCGGCCCCCATACATCACCTTCCTCCTCACCCCCACCCCCAGATCTTTTCCTTTCCCCTATTTGCCTGTTTATTAACTTCAGTTAGGCTCTGTTTCCTGTGCTCTGGAAAGCACACTGGGAATGAAAATGCTGCTGGAAAACAAGCAGGTAGCTGTGAGCTTCACAGCCTCAACCATTGGCCCTCCTTGCCCTCCCTGTGAAATTCTATCCATCAGGAGAGACAGGCCTCTAAACACTGCCCAAACCATGGCTCCTTCTGTCCGGAGACAGCAAATCATTAGCGCTGAGCCTCTGGGTTATCTCTTACAGCAATTAACAGCTGCCCCGGTGTTAATTCCCAGTCAGTAACCCTGGAGTGCTGGTGCTCCAATGCTGGTGACCTCTGCAGCACATTTTGAAAGTAACTTGCTGGGCAGCAGGGCTCTGCTCCTTGGCGCTCCCCAGGAAAGCCCTCACCAGGTGTCTAAAGGCACAGAAGAGCCCCTGACCAGTATCAGGGGCCAAAGGACTGTAGGATGACAGTCTCTCCCAGTGGATGACAGCTTGGGAAAACAGCCAGGACTCACTACCCCCTAGAGTGGCAGCCTTTTGAGATATTCATGAAGCTCTCATTTTTGTATTTTTGCTTTTTGGAACTTTTTGCTGTTTGAGATGGCTGTGTTTTTCTTCCATCTAAATCCTTCATTCAACTCGATCATATATATATATATATATATATATATATATATATATAAAATATATATAGACACACACACACATATATATATGAATCAAGTAGCTGCTGTCTCTTATTTCTTGCCTATGTTGCCTCCTCCAGCTCCCTGTGGACAAAACGAGACCCGGGAGGATGGTAAGATCATCCAGCTGCCTCCTTGCAAGACAGGAGCTTGGATTGTCCCGGCCATCATGGCCTGCTACCTCTTGGTGGCAAACATCCTGCTGGTCAACCTCCTGATTGCTGTCTTTAAGTGAGTGGGTGTGGGATGGGGGATGGGGGAGTAATGCTTTTCAAAGCAACAGATTTTCTCACTTACTTGTCTCTGCTCCATTTCAGCAATACATTTTTTGAGGTAAAGTCGATATCCAACCAAGTGTGGAAGTTTCAGAGGTATCAGCTGATCATGACTTTCCATGAAAGGCCAGTCCTGCCCCCACCTCTGATCATCTTCAGCCACATGACCATGATATTCCAGCACCTGTGCTGCCGGTGGAGGAAGCATGAGAGTGACCCGGACGAGAGGGACTATGGCCTGAGTAAGCTTCCAGTGAGAGCCCAGTGACCACAGGAAATCCCTATAGGCATCATGGAGAATGCAGACTGCAGACTGCAGATGACCCTCAAGACCTGAGGGGAGCTCAAGGGGATCTGTGAGCATGGGACATGGCGCTGAGAGAAAGACAGGAGAAACTGAAATGCAGTGTCCCTTAGCCTCACTGCTTCCTTAGTGAGAGAAAACTGGTCTCCACCAGAGCTATTTAGCACCTTCATAGGTCCTAAGCATCTCATTTTCCCCGGGGTCTCACCACAAAATACATCAACCGTATTAATATATACCCAATGGTACATTTTATATCTTTCACTGTTGCTTTTACAGTGCTGGGGATGGAACCCAGGGCTTCTTCACACATGCTAGGCAAGCTTTCTAAGCACTCTACAACTGAGCTACATCCCCTCACCACCCCTTTTGAGACAGGTCCTCACTAAGTGGCCCAGGCTAGCCTCGAATTTGTGATCCTCTTGCTTCAGTCTCCCCAGTAGCTGGGATCACAGGCATGCTCCACTACATCCAACTTATATACCCTTTCTCTTTTGGTACTGGGGATTGAACTCAGGACCTTGCGCTTTCGAGGCAGACGGTGGCACCACTGAGCTAAATCCTTGGCCCTCAGTTTATGTACCACTTTTAAGCACCATGACATGAGCTGAGTTTCTGTGACTAAGTTCAATTTTCCGTTATAATTTCTGGGGCTCTCATTTTTTCAGGTCTTAAACGCTTTCCAAAGCCCTAGGAATTGTGCCTGTGTGACCTCAAGAGGAACTGAGAGTCACTTTCCATTACTCAAAGGACAAAACAGAAGATTCTCTATCCTCCACCTCAGTTTTTAGACACACCCAGTGTTTCTAAAAGGAAGCAGTAGTTCTATTATTGGCCCTGGGGTGGAGTGATTCCTTTGTGTGATACTGTTCCCCACATTACAGGAAATATAGCCTGTCCACCTCCACACCTTAGGTGCAGGTAGCTCCTATAGATTCCTAAATGCCCCTTGGGCACTAATGATCAGTTAGAAACAACACAAGTAGCCCACCCCCAGGCAAACAAGTTTCTCAAAGTGTGTCTGGTCAACCACCTACATTAAATCTACAAGCAAGTGCCTCTGGGATGGTGGCCCAGGAAGTCTTCCTCCTTCTGTGTGATACCAGTATGTCTAAGGTTTACAACAAAAGCCTGTGGTCTGCTTCTCTAAGTCTGAATCTCTCAGTAACCTCCTGACATAGCAATGATTGGCTTCTTTCTAAACATTAAAATAGGAGAGTTGAAGACTGGGGATTTAGCTCAGTGGTTCCAGCAACTGCCTCGAAAGCACAAGGTCCCAAGTTCTATCCCCAGTACCAATAAATAAATAAATAAATAAATAATAAAATAGGAGAGTTGGAAAGAGCTGGGAAATTCAAAATCAGTTTCCACCTGAAACACAAGTCTAGGCACAAAGAAAGCTTAAGAGAGGGAAGGATGGAGGGTAACCTATGAGTTCATCCCTAAGCTTTGGTCCCCAGCCAGCAGGGAGCACCTGGGCTGCCCCAGCAGAGCACCGATGGCTCTCATGAGTAGCAGCCCCAGTGCGTGCTGAGCCGAGGACCAACACGCATCATGACTGGGAAAAGGAAAAGCTCTTATCTGGAGCAGCTAGCAAAGGAGGTCTGGGATACAGCAAAGGACCCAGGGTGGGGCCCTCAGCTTAGAGGCCATAGAAACTAGGCAGGCAGACAATGGGGGAAGACAGCACGAAAAGCTCTGGCTCATGGGCTTCTTGTTGCTCCCACCACGGCAGCAATGAGAGCATCACCGGGTCTCTGGACACGGGCAAGGAGGAGCAGAGTGTCCAAGGTCTCAGAGGAGGAGGATTTCCGAGCTGTGACTGGGTCAGAAACAGTGAAGAGCAGTGATGGGAGTCCTTTACCACACTTCTCAACCAGGGGAAGACCCTGGGACACTGCCAGCTCCTTGTATGGCCCCAGAGAAAGCCATTTAAGTTACATTGTAAAATGTGGCACGCTGATGGAATTCTTAAAATATTTTTATAAACAGAGCATTACACATAGCTAAAGGAATCAAAGTGAAGGGCCAAGAGAGTAAGTATTCGGCACACTCTTTTTGGTCTCAAATATAGCAATAGCAGAAAGGAGTCTATACTTGGGGCCTGGTACGTGGCCTCTCTCCATCGATCTCCCTCCAGCCCAAGGCCCTACGTGACTTCAGGACTGAAGCTCAAGCGTCCCCTCCTGATAACACCCTCCCCTGCCTCACGGGCTGCCATGTTGGAGATGAGCGAACTGAGGCCTAGTGTTTCCCTCACTCTCCTCTGCTTTACACTCATATTTTTCATGCCCCCAGCAAGTTCAGACCAAGGCCTCAAAGCAAACTAGAGCAATCTCAGGAGATAAAAATCCCTGAAGCTCAAAGATTCAGGGCTCCAAACACTTAAGACAATTCCTGTGGTGTTTCAAGGGCACAGGAGTAGAAAGACTTGCCCATTGCATTTTCCCAAAGCAGCTCTCTCCCTGACTCTAATTCATAAGCCATTTAAAGGTTCACCTTTCCACTGGGCTCTTTCTACTGTTCTATCAGTTATAAGTTTACCTTCTATTAACAGAAAACCAGAATAAAAATAGCACAAATAAATATGGCTTTAACTAGCATGACAAAAAGTAGAAATAGATAGCCCAGACCCAACAATGGCTCACTGAAGTAAAAGACGTAAGTTCTTCTATTTATAGGCCCAGGAATTCCTTTTATGCCACCTCTCATAGTCACAAAATAGTTGTGGCACCTCCAGTCATCACGCTTATGTTTAAGACAGGAAAAAAAAAAGGAGAAAGAAAATTTTTTTTAAAAATGTAGAAAGAAGCAACCATATCTCTTTATCAGGAAAGCAAAACCTCTTCCCAATACACTACCTCTCCCTGGAGCAGATTTCTTTTGTTTCTTGGCCAAAACTGAGTCTCATGGTTGCTGATAGCTTCAAAGGAGAGTAGAAATGTGTGTATTTGGCTCTCCTACTTCAGTAGTGGGGAGAGGAAAAGGGAAAATGGGGTTCTGAGAAGGCTGTCAATCAACGACATCTGTCTGCCACATCCCAGCCCAGAAATTTTTTAAAAACATGCAACCAGGTGTGGTAGTATATGCCTGTCATCCCAGCACTTGGGAGGCTGAGGTAGGACAATCACAAGTTGAAGGCCAGCCTGAACTACATAGTGAGACCGTTTCTCAAAAAGAGAAACATCCATCTTCAGAGTTGTTTCCCCTTTTTTTTGATTCAGCTATGTCCATGGTCTTATCACTTGTGTAATTCCTTTTCCCCTCTATATTAGAGACTGAACCCAGGGCTTCTGCACTGAGCTACATCCCCAGTCTGACGGGCTGCCTCCTCTCTCCCTCTACTTCTCCCTCCCCACTCCCTTCCAGACAAAGGGTCTTGCTGAGTTGCGCAGACAGGGCTCAAACTTTGGATCCTCCTGCCTCAGTCTTGCCGAGTACTGATTACAGGCAGGCACCACCACATTAGCTGTCACTTGTCTAATTCTAACTAGCTCCTGCAATATGCCGAATACACTCAGTTGAACTTCAGAGACCCAGAGTGAATCTAGTGTTCAGAAGACAAGTGGTGATGCAACCTGCCTAATTGAATTTAGATTTCATTAGAGGCTTAGAATCTAGGCTCCCTTCCCTGGCCTTGATTTACATGAAGAATGTCATCAGGCCCACAAATCTGAGGCCATCACTTTTACTTCTCCATCTCATGGCTCTCATTTGTTTGTTTCACAGAACTCTTCATAACTGATGATGAGCTCAAAAAAGTACACGATTTCGAGGAGCAGTGCATAGAAGAGTATTTCAGAGAAAAGGACGATCGGTTCAACTCGTCCAACGATGAGAGGATCCGAGTGACTTCAGAAAGGTGTGTTCCCTGGGCACCTCCAAGAAAGCTGTGTGCCCTGGCTGCTTGGCCAGTTGAGTTTGCTTTCATGGTCCCCAAACAGAGATGCTTTGTGCTTATTTGCACTGTCCAAGAAATCCTGGAGCTCCCAGGAGAACAGAACATCACCTATAGCCCGTGTCTACGCGTGAAAATCCCAGACTAGGGACTCTGCAGGTGGTAGCAGCCGCCCTCTGGGACAGTAGAAATTGGGGAGGCCAGGCCAGGCTGGGCCCTGGTTCTAGCCAGAAACTGGAAAGTTCTGGCCAGGACACAAAACAAGAGAGACCCAGCCCGACTTGCTGCTCTTCTACAGGCTTTTGTTTCGTGTTCAGCATCTTCTCCAGCAGAGTAGAAATGTTCCAGTACATGGCTCAGCTGGATGCTCAATACTTTTCAGGACACAACAGCAAGAGACTTGTAAATTGAGGAGAAAAACCATTGATGGTTTTTTTTCCCTCAGAGTTGATGCTTTTCTTCTTTTCATGGAACAAGATAGAAACAAAGAAATAGAAGCAAGTTTTTCTACTCAGTGGTTATTTAGATCTCATTGACCAAATAGATTTGAGGGCTAGTGGGGCTGTTTTTAAAAATCTCCAAAAAAGAAGGGAATCCTTTAAGTCTAATAACTCTAGATTCATATAAAAGCTCTTACATTTTCTTTTTTCTCTTGTCTTGCTGTAGACTAATAAAACCTTCATTCCAGGCTGGTGTATTCCAAAGCCCAGCATTTAGAAACTACTGGGTGTTTTGTTTTGTTTTTTTGAGACAGGGTCTCACTATGTAGTTCAGGCTGGCCTCATACTCATGACAATCCTCCAGCCTTAGCCTCCCAAGTGCTGGGATGACAGGTATGAACCACCACGCCTGGCTGGAAACTACTGTTTGAAAGAATACTCAGTGTTACAAATCATTGATGTAACTTTAATTTTAATAATTCCCAATATAAAGATGGCAGAGCAAATTCTAAATAGTGTAGAAAGATACGCTATGTTGACAGCTTTAGCCAGTGTGACTCAGGATTCTGAGGTTTGAAACCATCATCTCTAGTTCTCATGAAATGGTATTGTGTCTCCACAGTAGACATTCTCTACTGACTGTAGAAATCAAATCGATGGCTTCTTTTTCTATTCCTTTATTTCTTTAAAGAATGCAGACTACATAAATAGATACATACACATATGCTATTGAATGATGATATCCATAGGTACCAGGCCAATATTAATAAAATTTAAAGCAACCCAGAGATTTTATACACATCTACCAATGCAAAATAGAGCATTTTATGTATGATGTAATTTTCCAGCAAACAGAGGAAGGAACTACAAAACCTAAAGAGCTCTCTCATTCTGAGGCCCTGAAAAAGCTATTTATTAATGGACACATAGCCATGTGATCCCAGAAAACTGTGCCATGTGCACACATGTGCATTTGTAAGCATACCAAAAAAATAACGCAACACTGGAGCTGCACTTGGCACAACCCAAAGGCCAGGGGTACCTGAGGGAACAGAGCCTAACCAAGGGGCAAATGGCTCCAAACTCCCCATCTCACACCTGCTCTAGGACGTGTGCTTTCTCAGGGAGTGGCAGGCAACAACCCCAGTCCTATCTGCATTTTCTGAGGTTGGGGAGGTGGGTAGGGACAGAGCTATGTACACATACATGCTTGTATGTAGACCCACATGAAGGGATTTATCTAAGTTAACTGTGTGCATCCCGTTTAGCATATCGCATATTATGTAATTCTGCTTTAATGTTAGACAATCCCAGTACAGAGGTTTGAAATCAGAAACATTAAAAGCGTGCTCCCCTCTCACCTGCCACCTCACCTGTCACCTCACTTCTTTCCAGGACCCTGTTGGGATCACCCCGAGTTACTCTGGTTTTTTGGGACCAGGGATTGAACTCGGGTCCTTGCCGAGTTATTCTGAAATGAGCCACTCAGTGTCTGGAAATGTGAGAGATGGAAAGTTAAATAAAGAGTTTCTCCTATAAATGTCTCATTTTTCACAATGGCTTTTACCTATCTTTCTTTTTTATGGGTCACTTTATGTATCTGTCTCCTAGTGGACCCCTGGTGATTCATAAATTCTTATTTATATCTCATTTTGTCTCCTGAGTTACTTGATCAGAATCAGCTCCAAATGGCTACAGTCATGACCTAGAACTCTTGGTTGGCTCCTGAGGCCAACTTATATCTGGGATGCATGTCCATATACACTTAATTTTTTAAGAAACAAATTTAAAAGATTTAAAGAGGTACTCTAGTTACAGAACAAACACATATAAATTTGGCCCTAGGACCTTTTATTTTCCATAACCTCCATAGTAACCCCTATCAGTTAGGTCCATGACCTAAATGATCAGACAGATGATTAGAGGTTAAACACACACAGAATTCTGGGAGAAAATGGACCACCCGATTCACTGTGGTTTTAGGCAAGACTTATATTCCAGCCCACCTCAGAGCCCATAGGAAAGGTAATAGCAGTTCTGAGCCCGTGCTCCCCTTGCCTGTTCCATTCCCTGGGACCACACTTCCTCATTCTTGGCTTTCCCTGAAAAGCCTCTTCCTCCTGTGTCTCTGTCTTCCTTCTGCTCTCCCTGTGCTCCTGCGCTGTGTGCAGCTCACTGTCTTCGGCAGGTCCTGCCTCCCCCACTGCCTGTCCCTGCACCACCTCGCACCTGCTGGCTTTCTGACTCTGGGTCCTGGACTGAGGACAGCTCACCAGGAGGCTATGGCAAGAAGATATTTCATAGCTCTTGGGCCAGTGATCACATGCAATTGTGCCAAGAGAGCATCTTTTTATTTCAAATAAAAACCTTGTGTGTGCTGAGCTCCAGGAAGAAAACGAGAAAGAATAAAGCTGTTCTGTTCTTTGTTACCCTCCGGCTCTAAAAGAGGGTAGAACCCAGAACCTAGGGCATGCTAAGCAGAAAGCTAAGAACTACTGGGTTATGCCAGGCATGGTGACACGTGCCTCAGTACCAGCTATTTGGCAGGAGGATCACTGGAGTCTAGGAGTGTGGACCAGCGGAGGCAATATAGCTAGACTCTGACTCAAAATAAAAATCAAAAGAAAAAGGAAAAACCACTGGGCTAGATTATCTCTACAGCCTCCTCCAGCACAAATAGGTTTGGATCCTGTGACGGGATCAATGTGCCCTCTTCCCCTGCCCCTCTGCTTCCCTGTGGGAAAGGAGCCGTGCTGGCACCCAGGGTGGGCACAGCTTTGAAGCCCTCTGTCTTTGCTCTCCAAACCCACAGCAGAGGACTCATTCTCTCCTTCTCATACAGGGTGGAGAACATGTCCATGCGGCTGGAGGAAGTCAACGAGAGAGAGCATTCGATGAAGGCCTCACTCCAGACCGTGGACATCCGGCTGGCACAGCTTGAGGACCTCATCGGGCGCATGGCCACAGCCCTGGAGCGACTGACCGGTCTGGAGCGGGCTGAGTCCAACAAAATCCGCTCGAGGACCTCCTCCGACTGCACAGACGCTGCCTACATAGTCCGCCAGAGCAGCTTCAACAGCCAGGAGGGAAACACCTTCAAGCTCCAAGAGAGTATAGACCCTGCAGGTGAGGAGACCTTGTCCCCAACTTCTCCAACCTTAATGCCCCGTATGCGAAGCCATTCATTCTATTCGGTCAATATGAAAGACAAAGGTGGTATAGAAAAGTTGGAGAGTATTTTTAAAGAAAGGTCCCTGAGCCTACACCGGGCTACTAGTTCCCACTCGGTAGCAAAAGAATCCAAAGCTCCTGCAGCGCCTGCGAACACCTTGGCCATCGTTCCTGATTCCAGAAGACCGTCGTCGTGCATCGACATCTATGTCTCCGCCATGGATGAGCTCCACTGTGACATCGACCCCCTGGACAGTTCCATGAATATCCTCGGGCTGGGCGAGCCAAGCTTCTCCATGCTGGCCCCTTCCACGGCCCCTTCCAGCAGTGCCTACGCGACCCTCGCGCCCGCAGACAGGCCTTCAAGCCGGAGCGTTGACTGCGAAGACATTACCTCCATGGACACTAGATCTTTTTCTTCAGACTATACCCATCTCCCAGAATGTCAAAACCCCTGGGACTCTGACCCGCCGACGTATCACGCCATTGAGCGCTCCAAGAGCAGCCGCTACCTAGCCACTGCGCCCTTCCTTCTGGAAGAGGCCCCCATTGTGAAATCTCATAGCTTTATGTTTTCTCCTTCGAGGAGTTACTACGCCAACTTTGGGGTGCCCGTGAAAACAGCAGAATATACCAGTATTACAGACTGTATTGACACAAGATGTGTCAATGCCCCTCAAGTGATTGCTGACAGAGCCACCTTTCCTGGTGGGCTTGGAGACAAAGTGGAGGACTTATCCTGCTGCCATCCTGAGCGAGAGGCAGAACTGAGTCACCCTGGCTCTGACAGTGAAGAGAATGAGGCCAGAGGCCGGAGAGCCACCATCGCAATATCCTCACAGGAAGGGGACAGCTCAGACAGAGCCCTGTCCAACAATATCACGGTTCCCAAGATAGAGCGTGCCAACAGCTACTCAGCGGAGGAGCCAAGTGTGTCATATGCACACACCAGGAAGAGCTTCTCCATCAGTGACAAACTCGACAGGCAGCGGAACACAGCAAGCCTGCGAAATCCGTTCCAGAGGAGTAAGTCCTCTAAGCCAGAGGGCAGAGGGGACAGCCTGTCCATGAGGAGACTGTCCAGAACATCGGCTTTCCACAGCTTTGAGAGCAAGCACAACTAACCCTTCTCACTCTGCATTGTGGAAGGCTTGAGAATCCAGCCCTGAAATTGCCCCTAAACTCCACCTTCCCCCTTCTTCCTTAAATCATACCCGCTTTGTTCTTAGCTGAGCGAAACATGCAATACTTTGGGAGACACTAACACAATGGTGACTTCTGGGCCACAGATCAAGAAAGCATTAATCTGACCCAGTGCCAAACACAGGGGAGTGCAGGCGTGTCCACATTTGCTGGGTAGGGAGGAGACAGAGGGGGAGAGGAAAGGTCAGAGACAAATGTGTCTTGCCAGTCTCTGCAGGAAGCCATGAGCTTGAGGCACCAGGAGGCTCCAAGCAAACTCCATACCAGGAGGCATCTTGTGATTTCTGCCTATTATCAAAAGTTTTAGGTTGCAGGGCTAAATTGCAAAATAAAATAAAATAGAACAGCCAGGCTGCAAAATGAGATATTCTAAACTTCAATTCTGTTTTCTTTTCACATTGGCTCCAACACTGGTGACTGATGAAGAGCATCCTTTTTATTCAGTATAAGCCGGCAGCAAGCAGTTCTACCTAACGTCCCACATCCTTCTCATGCCAACACTTCTGTAATTGGTCACTATAAAGAAAAAACAAGGTAACAGTCATAGTTCACCTGTCTTATATATTCACTTCTGGTGCCACAACTGTTTTAGCTTTTTTGGAGAAAATAAGGGAACAGAAATGCCTTGTTTGTCTTGCAATTGAAATGAAAGAAGAGTTGATGTTAAAAACAAAAGTCACATGATATACTATATACAGTGGGCATTTGAGTATAGTCGAGCAAGCTCAGGATGAATGTAATTAAATAATTTTATATTTTAAAATTTATTTTGTATCTCACCTGTCATCAATGAATTCGCTCATTGACTATGTAATATTGAACTTAAAAAAAAACAACACAGTGGGCAGAACTAACCTAAAGTTGCCATGTGGGATATCGTTATATTCTCACCATTCATGTCATGTGTTTTGCTGCTGTGTGACCTTCATGATTTGCATGATGCCACCGTGTCCTCTGATGTAACTAAGATGTAACTGCCAACTTCCCACACCCTCATCACGTGACTATTTTGTATATGAATACATGGTTAAATGTGGATATTTTCATACCTAGAGTTTTGCCATTTAATCTGAGCTCAGCATAAATTTAATTGGAGTTTTTCAAGGGCTGGTATCTTTTCTATGGAAATGTTCCAAAGTACTTTTTAAGGAAGTTTCAAAACCATAAATAACCTTAGAATTGACTGGGAATTTGGTATCAACCCAAAGCCATCAGTTGCAGGCATACCATGAATATTTTTCTTACACACAGAGCTATAAAAAAATACAGTAGGCCAAAATAGAAGGCAAATAAATCATATAAAGAATTCTGTAGTATATGCTGCTTATATACATATATATGCATTTACAGAGAGACACAGGTTTATATATAGTATATAAACAGACATAGAGAGCTTTCTTAAGAGGCTCATACTTTTCTAGCTCTTGGAGATATAGCCACAATTTTTTAATATCAAGAAGTTCCATTGAAAGAGTTCATTATACTATTAGACCAAATGTTGAAATTACGATTTTTTAAATCTCTATCACCTTAACTTTTCCTTCAACCAAACAAGAGCTGTCAAAATGATTCACCACCCACCCACTGCACCTTTTTGACCCAAGTCATTTACCATCCATCTCATTTATTCTGGTTTCTCCTATACAAAGCTACAACACAATTTATACAATTGGAACAGATACACAGTTCTAAACCGGATCGTAGTATGGACTAAAGAACAGAAGCATAAGTTTCTAGATCAGAATCTGAATTTAAATTGGGATAAAGAAATCTTGACATCCCCCCTCCCCCTCAAATCTTCTGATTCCTCTTTGGATCACTGAAGTTTTAAAAAACCTTTAAGAAAAATGACTTGAGTTCCCTGGTCCAAGATACTACCTGGTTTTTTCATTTAATTGCAGTTGTAAGTAACAAATTATATCTCATTTTGTGAAATCAAGTAAATTCATTGACAAAACCTGTAGCCTTTCACTATTAAAAAATACAAAACACACACACACACACACACACAAAAAAAATCCTGAGCAACCTTTTCAGTACAGAAAGAGTGACAAGTTCACATACACAAAGAATTCCTTATAACTTCTTGGTATTTAGGTGAATCACTAACTTTCAACTCCTTCATTTATAATTGCTGTAGTTGGGCATGGTAGCTTACACCTGTAATCCCAGCACTCAGGAGGCTGAAGCCTGAGGATTGTGAGTTCAAGACCAGCCTGGGATACACAGTGAGTTCAAGGCTGGCCTGGACTACAGACCAATACTCTGTCTCAAAAACAAAACAAAGCAAAAACAACATTTTTGCTTTATATTTGCTCTGGGACTCTTTTACTTTATTGGGCCTCAAATTGGTAAACTTCCCTCTTAGCCAACATGAATTCAGTCCGTGAATAAAACAGGTGTCTTAAATTTCCTGTGTCATGAATCCCTGTGAGGATCAATGAAAATTCTGGACACCCCTCCCCAAATGTACATACATGTGTAATGTCATTGCAATATAACTTCAGAGGGTTCAGAGAGCCCTGGTTCCATATTGATTGGTAATGAGGAAAAGGAACCATGTTTGTTCATATAAGTATGGTCGTAATAGGCACTTTATATTTTAAGACCATTTCTCTGTGATTCTCAGGAAGGCCAAGTCTCAGCACCAGTTTGAACCAAGGTTCTGTTACTTTCATTCCTTAGATTAGATGTGGCTAGTTTGATGTCCTTTCATCCTAATGTTTGATCATTTTGAGTAGTGAGTATACTCACAAAGCCAAAGGGTCTCTGAGAGAGTCTCTAAAGGAATGCAAGAAGGAGGTGAAAGAAATATTCTTTGACCTTAGAGCAGGACACCAAACACCTCCAGTGCCTCATAATGGACAGTACTGGAAGTGGGGGAAAGATGTGATGAGCACCAGTGTTTCCATTCATCGTGATTTCCAGAGAGCAAATACGACCTGGGAAACTAAATACCTAACAGTCCTGATCTTGTGACTACCTGGTTCTTTTGTTGTGCATGAACATTAAGTGCTAATATCTTTGGTGAAGTGTGTGAAGTATATAAGCCAAATTTAAATGACTTTAGACACAAACTATGTAATTCTCACAAGCCATGTCTTTCCTGTGCACATACGTGTGTTACTCTTCAGTCCCATCCTCCCATATCCGGGTTCTCTACACACCAGTGTGGCATTGATTCTGTGGCCTTGTATAGTCAACTTGTGCTAAGCTCATTTATTCCACCATGTCCCTGATTGAGGGGATGTTAATTATCTGTCTCTGTGAATTAAGCAACTCATAAACAGCAAGTTATTGAGGACCATAAATAAAGTCATAGAGAGCTCAAGGAAGTAATGGCTTGGGTTTAATCATCTGCTTCAGAGGTGCCATTTTTATATACTACTATATGTAATGATTTGTTCTAAATTGTTTGTTCCTTTTGGGAAAAAAATTAAGGATGTTTTATGAAAATGACCACGGAGGTTTCCTGACTAACCTACATACTTTACATTTATAGTCCAAAACCCCCTTTCTTGATGTGATTTAAGTGGGGAGCTGGAAAGCTTGTGTACAACTGTCCTGGCTATTTCTGCAAGCCAAAGGGTATATTAGCAATCCAAATGCAGCACTTTAGAGAACTGAATTTTTTTTTAAGTCTAAGCTTGCAGGGCCAGGACACAATTTAGCACTTTGAAAGTTACCCTTTTAAAATATATGTGTAAGAATAATCAAGTGGGAAAAATGTACTCATAAAAACACAAAATGTGTTTTTTCTGAATGTTTCAAATGTATTTTAAAATATGGTCTCTATAGATAATATTATGGTAGATAACTGGATAGTACATTGTTTTTCTTTTATTCTGAGGCTGTACAGTCTAATCTTCCTGAATGTCTGGGCTGTTTAATTTCTTTTAAGAGAATATTATCCAGTCATCCATCATGCTATATCTATAGGCTATACCATAGGATATATTGGGCAATGCTGTATTATAAAACACATGTTAACATATATGTAACCTGTGTATAACCCAGCATAGCTGTAGCATGTGGTTGTATTAATGAACGTTACAGGATAGCTTTATAATCATTTATAAATCTGTAACATTCAATAAAGAAGCACATGTTGCAAGGATTACTAATGTTCCCCATTCCATGTTATTTAGCATCCTCGTGAAATGGGCATTTTTGTTCCTGACCTGGTTTGTGTTTTCTACATTCCTTCAGACCACTGTAAAATATTTGGATAAGCTGGTATACATCCTCTACCAAGTCCCTTGAGCTGTGGTAGGCAAGTTGTGATTCTGTGAAAGATGAACTGGTATGTTTTGCAAAAGACTACATGACAAATGAACTTAATATTTTAAACTCTAGTTGAATTAGCTGTTTGTTTACATCTGCTGACCCAATGCGGAAGCAGTGTACAGTATTTTATAAATATGTTCTTTTAGTAACACTATGTCGTTTCTAGATAAAGTGATGCTAGTGTGTAGGAAGTTATATACTTGGCCTAGTACTGCATTATAACTATCTTTAACAATAACAATGTGACTTAAATGAAGTAATGCTTCTCTAAACCCAGTCTTAATTTTTATGTCAACAAAATGCGTGCACGGCTTTATGCATTTCTTTTGACTTTCTAAGGCACTTAACATTTTACTATTGCCTGCTGTGATGTTTAAACCCAGTAGGAACTCACTCAAATTGTTGGGCTTCTTACACTGGGGATTATATTCAATTTTTAAAAATTAAAAACAAATTATTAAGGGGTTTTCATTCATCTTTTTTTAAAGTTCTGAACCAATAATATGAAATAAAGTATTAACTGCAGGTTGCATAGCCATGGAACCCGGAATTGGCCAGCCAGCGCCACTTGGGATGACCAAGGTTGAGGTGTTCGTGCATCTGCAACACACACTGGATTCTTTAGAGCTACTGGGTGCAAATGATAAACCAGAGATGAAAGCAAAAGGCCCCATCTTGACAGGACATAAGCCTGCAGATCATTATGAATGAGTGGTCTCATGACAGGACATAGCCTTACCCTGTGACTTTCTCCCTCTGTGAGCCTGGCCTGGGAGTGGGAGGTGGGTGATTGAGCACTAGGTGACTCTGCAAAGATTACTCTTTAAAGAAATCACCATTTCAATGTCAGGGAAAGAGAGGAGCCATTTTGGACAGTCATGTGAATGACTCAGGGAATGAGTGGGGGAAACTTTTCTTGCAGCTCAATCTGACCTTAGCTCATCCTCTCTCTCTCTCTCTCTCTCTCTCTCTCTCTCTCTCTCTCTCTCTCTCTCTCGGACTGAAATCAACCAAAGAAACTGTTGGTTCTGATTTAAGAAAAACAAGATTTTTAATTTTCTTTTCCTTTTGCTTTTTCACAATGTAATTCAGTCACCTTTCACTTATGATTTCCTTGCACATATCGCTGCAAACAAAATCAAGATGAAACACTTTCAATGCGTTGTCTAAGAGACAATTAGGTGACCAGGTAATCCAAATGCAATAAAAATGGATGAGTTTTCCTTTTGCTAACTGACCAGGTCTGACCAGCCACCAGCATGTATTGGTAGACTATGTGCTGGAAAGGGAACCTGACTTGTGTATGTCTAGAAGTCCATAGGCTTCAGGGAAGCCTCAGTGCCACCCACGACCCCAGCCATCCTGGTGGGGAGGCTGCTGAGAACACAGAGGGAAATTCAGCCTCGGGCCTGAGGGTGCAGCCTTCTTCAGCCCCTTTGCTTCCTTCTTTTCTCTTAGCCCGACACTAGCTCTTTTTTTGTGAGGCCAACAGATCTTGACTTCCATATCCTCAGCACCTTGTGGACCCCACCCTGCAAGCAAAATAGCAACTACTTGAGAAAAGCCAAATATTCAGACTTTGACCTAGGCCTCAAGTTTCCACTAACTCAGCCCCTCCTGACTTGGCTCAAATATGCATCTGCCTCATCCAATTCTTTGCCTACTTGAATCCCATAAGTCTCTCACACCGTCACCAGCTGACTTTGAGTCATCAGCATCCACATCTAGATGGAGGGACAGCAAACTCAATCTCAGGGCTGAATCCAGAGCAGAAAGGTAGGAATACGCATGGTGAAAGACAACAGAAATAGGATCTGTAGGGATGAGAAAATACACATGCCATCACCAAGACATTCAAAGTTGGGTTTTGTTTCTTCCTTTTTTCTTTCCTTTTCTTTTTCTGACATGGTCTCACTATGTTGCCCAGGCTGGTCTCAAACTCCTGGGTATGAATGATCCTTCCGCCTTAGCCTCCCAGCTGGGGCCTTGAGAACAAGCAACCAAGCCCAGCTGAAACTCATGTTCTCAAGCTCTGTGCTAGCCACACAAATGTGTCTGCCAACAGCACTGCTCACAGCATAACTGGGGATCTCCGACTTAGGGCCAACTGGGATCACAGTTTCTTGATTCTGACTTAGTGAGTGTGTATACCTGAAATAATGGAGAGCGGGGGAAATGGAAGTCCCTCTATTCAGGGCTACTCGGGATCTGCTGAATGACATGAGCATGTACATTTGTTAGTCACATCATTCTGGACCCAAACACAGGATTTTTGTGAGGGAAAGTCAGAGGAAGGGAACCGTGGCATTGCATGAAGACTCACCTGCCTGCTTCTGGTCACCACCACTTCTGATTTTAGTTTCTACTGCTGCTACCACAGTGTAACACAGTGCGTGCAGTACACTCGACTCATAGCCATTTAATAACATAGACTTAGACTCTCTTATCTGTAAGTGTTCTAACCATAGTTTATAATGGGAAAATTATTCAGATTTCATTTTTTTTTCTTTTCTTTTTATTTTTTTGGTACCGGGGATCGAACTTGGGTCCTTGCGCTTGCAAGGCAGGTGGTGAAGCCTCAGATTTCATTTTTAAATGAATACCTATAAATATGATGATTTTGAAATTGGGTTTGCTAAATATATATACATTCTTTTCCTTCTTTGCATATGGATAGACAGTGGTTTGCATATCTATTGACACTATAAACATAGATAAATCCTTAGAGGAATTGTTCTTTTTTAAAGGTCTATTACCAGATTCACAATGCACTTTGAGCTTGTTTGTTTAGACATATAATTCAAAGCAGAAGTTGGCAGATACCACAGGAAAAACTTTCTGAAATTTCTGTGACAAATGTTTTGCAATAAAAAAAAAAAAAACTCAGTAGTTTAAAACATTACTTGGACTTCCTTGTGAATTTATTTGTCTCCATCTGATTTTCACCATCCTCATGCTAAGAACTTTGGGGGTTCCCAGATAGAATTTCTTAGGGCTTCATAAATTATGTTTCAGTAGAGCAGGGTTACAAACTGGTGGCCCGTTGGACCATGCCTAGCCACATGAGTGTAAGCGGCAAAGAATGAATGCTATGGGCCAGTACCATATTTTTTTATAAATTTGAAACATGTTTAATTGTATAGATTTCACATATAATTCTAGATTTCTGGTATCTCTTGAAACATCTGAAGATCTGTTGATGAGACCTGTCTTCTCACACAGCTATAATCAGATGAATCATTTCACCTTCTGGCATACACCACAGTCCCTACCACTCCCTTCTGTCTAAATCTCTGGGTTCCTTCACTCATTAACCAACCTTGGAGACCCTTACATAGACTAGAGCCTTGGATACCTGTACTAAATGATATCTAAAAAGTCATAGCAATCCTATAATTTCTAAGTAGGAAAGGATTATGGTTGCAATTTGGTCTCCAGCTCCTTTTTTTTGGTACTGGGGATCAAACTCAGGTCTTTGTGCTTGCCAGGCAGGCAGTGAAACCACTGAGCTAAATCCCTGCCCCTATGGTTGCAATTTGATTAGAAGAGAGAAACAAGAGGAACTTTTCTTCACACTAAAGGTATTTAGCAAGCATGTTTTCATTATTCATTTTAAAATATATTATTATGTTTTTTCATTGGCTTGGTTTTGAGAGAGCTAAAAGATGGGGAGGAGGGGCCAAATATCATTTCCATTAAGTAACCTTGGTTGTAGCTCCTGCTAAGAATAAGCAATGTCCCCTGCCCTTACAAATATTTACATTTCAAATAGTATGGGAAGAGAAATTATAAAATATATATGCATTTTATTTTTTTGAGAAAAAGTCTCAGTATATTGTCCAAGCTGACATTGAACTCCTGGACTTAGGTGATTCTTTTGCCTCAGCTTCCCATGTAGCTGGTACTCTAGCCACACCTGGCTAACTCTGTATTCCAAAAAAACTATTGAGCACCTACTATATGCCCAGTACTGTGCCAAGATGAAGAAATTAAGAAAAGTTTTTGGTCCTATGGAGTTTTAAATCCAGCTATAATGAAAATGTAATCATATGTAGTTTACTATTACTACTTAGTTGCCTAAGGAATAGAGCATGAAAAATATGAGTCTAGGAGTTCAAAGGAGTGAAAGTGCCTTGTGGTGTAGGAAGGTGAGAACCTATGAAGAAACCATGCCAGAAAGCGCCCTGAGAACCCACGTGTTTGACTGGACAGGGGAGGACACTACAGTGAAGGGGAATATGAATTTGATGAGCACTGAAATGTCATGATGCTCCATCCTGTTTAGAGCTTTCAAGAAGTCCCAGCCTCATGGGCCGCATTCCCAGAATGAACTCAAATACCAAAAATGGGTCTTGGCTCCAACTATCACCTTTCATCTGTAGCCCTCACATTTGCTCTGCTCAGTATTTTTGACAAGGAGTGCTTGACACAGTTTTCTAAAAGCACGTTGTCTGTGTTTATGAATATACATATTAATGTAGAACTTGCAACATTCAACAGTGTGCCCTGAAAAACAATCATTTGCTGCCAAAATCTCAGATTTAAATC